CACAGCCCGCGGCGAGCACCTCTGAGTTGTCCGCATGTGGAGCCTCCTTCAAAAATCCCTCCTCCCTGGCTCACAGGCTGGGTTCCTTCTGCCTCCATAGTCTTCTGTGTCCCGGGATCTCCACTCATACTGCATCCAGACCCCAGCCTCTGGCTTTGCTTCACCAGCTAGACAGTTGCCTACCCAGGCCCAGCAGGCCCTCATCTGTGTCGTTAAGACCTTCCGATGGGCTGTGTCAATAAGCTGTATCCACTCAGTTAAGCCCAATCTCCACTTACGCAGCACACAGCTGCAGATTTTTGGGGGGATCCACACCGTGCAGGGAGATCTTAGTTCCCTGACCAGGGGTGGAACTTGCAGCTCCTGCAGTGGAAGTGTAGAGTGCTAACACTGGACCACCAGGGAAGTTTCCAGTACACAGCTGCAAATCTTTTTGCTAAGTCTTTCATAATCGCATGAATTGGATTCAGTAACAGCACAACCCCTGCTGGTCCTGCTCTGTGCTGGGCTTGATACTGGGCTCCTTCATACTTTTAGTCTCCTTTGAGTCTCATATCATACACCTTTCCCCTTTTGGCTCAGAGAGGTTCATCATTTTCCCAGGGTCACACAGCTAGTAAGTGGCAGCTGTGGAGTTTGAACTTCAGGCTTCTGGCTCTAAACCAGGCTTTCTTTCCATTGGGAAAGAAAGGTCACCAGTGCCTGTGATCTGTCGTTTGTCACAGCATTGTCAGATCTGGGTCATCACACATCGGCGGTAACAGTAGCAACCATACTGATAGCAGTTCTCAGTTGCTGAGTATTTACTGGAGACCAGTTACATTATCTCATGAGACACTCCCAGCAAACCTGCAGAATCTCACTCACATTTTACCTGTGACAAAATGAAGGTGCAGGGCCATTACGTGGCTCTCCTTGAGACCCAAGGCTGTATGGCTCTGAGTCTGGGAGTTCTGGGGAGCCTGGGACCTTGGACTCTACCTGGTCCAGGGAGGATATAAGGAAACCCTGGGTCTGAGCTGGGCCTGCTGGGGAAGCCTCCCTGGAGGAGGAGGCTATAGTGTCAGCAAAGCAATAAGTGAGCGGGAGGAGGAGGGTGGGCAAGTTAGGCGTGGGGGCTGCTCAGGGAAGGCAGCTGCGGAGATGGGCCTCAGCCACTGGGGGATCAGGAGCCTCAAGTGCTGAGAAGGGGACTTCAAACCTGCGAACAAGGCCTTCTCCAAGGGGGGAGTCAGGAAGCCGAGACACAGTGGCCCTGGCACCCGGCATCAGCAACCCTTTCTCCCACCAGCCAAAGACAGCAGCATTCCCAAGCGCAAGAGAAAGCGGGTCTCAGAAGGGAACTCCGTCTCCTCCTCCTCCTCATCTTCCTCGTCCTCCTCCTCGAACCCGGAGTCGGTAGCATCCACCAACCAGATCTCGCTCGTGGTAAAGTTGCGCAGAACAGGACCTGACCGCTCTTCCTTCTGGCTTTCAGCCAGCGCTCGGGCAGGGTCGTCTATGCTGGGGCGTGGGTCCGGGGTGCGGGGAGACGCCGGGCCCTGAGCAGGGTCTGCAGACATACCTGCCTGCGCCACCTGTGAGCTAGTCCACCCCTCCTCTCATCAAGCACTCACAGGCACCCCTGGGAAGGAGTTCACAGGCCCACTATGCAGATGGGCAAGCTGAGGCCTCAGAGTGGGAAGGGACCTGACACCTCCTCCCACTCGATAGGACCTTGAGCAGACTCCCGGTTGTTCCCAGGGCAATCAGATGCTAGACTAATCTCTGTGCTCACATCACATGCTCTGAGCCACAGGACTGCGAGGCGTGGGTGTTACCCACAGTACGTAGACGAGGAAAACTGGGGTCAGGGGACCATTAACTCTGCAGCCTCACGCTGGTCAGTGGTGGACGGACACCCCACCTCCAGAGCACCACTTGCTTTGCCACGTGACTGGTTTATTCAGCCACGTGGCTCCTCTCAAGGGGAAAGCCTCATTAAAGGCACAATTCAAGCGTTCTTTCTGATTTCAAAATATTAGCTTTGAAATCCTGGGTCCAAATGGGGAGAATATTGGAAGCCAGCTGAAAACAACTTCAGTTTGTTTATGCTTGGACCTCTTCCCGAAAAGCACAGAAGTTCAGGCTTTGCCTCTGTTCCTGCCAGGGTGCTCACAGAGGGTCCCTCAACCCTCCCACCACCCAGAGAGATAGGAAAGCTTGCTCTAGAGCCTGAGGCCTGGAGGGGGCTGAGTTTATGGGGCTCAGGCCACCTGTTCTGAGCGATCCCCAATTTCTTCCCCACATGTCTGCCCACACGGTTGGTCCCTGGGACACAGGTGGGAACAGGTCAGAAAGCTCCAGCCCTGGCCCCACGGTCACTGGTGAACCGTGAGACCTTAGGTCACACACCCCCTCTCTTGGCCTCCCACAGCCTCAAAATAAAAAGCATCGGAGGAAGTCCTTCACAAAGCGTCCCAGGGGGCTCTCGGAGTCACCTGGAGTCCTAACCCAGGCTGTCTGTCCTCCCTCTCTCTAGCAATGGCCAATGTACATGGTGGACTATGCCGGCCTGAACGTGCAACTCCCGGGACCTCTGAATTACTAGACCTCAGTGCTGAATCAGGACCTCACTCAGAAAGACTAAAGGAAATGTAATTTATGTACAAAGTGTATATGCGGATATGTATCGATGCCTTTTAGTTTTTCCAATGATTTTTACACTATATTCCTGCCACCAAGGCCTTTTTAAATAAGTAAAAAAAAAAGAAAAAAAAGCATTGCCTCTGTTCCTAACTGTTGCTTGTTCTCTTTTGGAATTTGTGGCTGCAGCTGCCGTCCCTGGAATGAGGTCAGGAAGTTTGGCTCAGCTGGCCTGCCCAGGCCTTCCGTCTTTGCCGAGAACAGAGGCCACGGCCCTGACCACAGGGCCCTGGGTACAGGCTTCATTCATTTTGCTGCTGCTGAGGTCACATGACCTCAGAATGCAGTACCAGAAGAAGGTGAAGTGCAGGGCTGAGCCTCTGTGGTCGGGGGTCGTCTTGTCCTGGCCCCAATAACAGGTACAGTCAAGAAGGTAGATATAAGCAGGCATGGAATCTCCATAGCTGGAGGGAAGACATCTTGCAGACGGGGTCTTTGGAACGAGCCTGAAGAGGTGACACGGGTTTCGTTTTTTTTTTTTGGCTACGCTGTGCGGCATGTGGGATCTTAATTCCCAGCCCAGGGATTGAACCTGCAGCCCTTGCTTTGAAAGCATGCAGTCTCAACCACAGGCTGCCAGGGAAGTCCCCGAGGTGGCTTTTTGCTACTGTGTGTACATGCTCTGTCTCAGTTGTGTCCAACTCTTTTTGCTCCCATGGGCTGTAGCACACCAGGCTCCTCTGTCCATGGAATTTTCCAGGCAAGAATACTGGAGTGGGTTGCCATTTCCTATTCCAAGGGAACCCTCCAACTTAAGGATCGAACCCACGTCTTCTGCATTTGCAGGCAGACTCTTTACAGCTGAACCACCTGGGGAGCCCCAGGTTTTTGCTTGAGCTCAGGGTATTTAAGCAGAGTGGTGGGTCACAGCTACCGGTCAGAAAGACCAGTTTGGTGACAGGTGGAAAGGTGAAGGAAGTGATGAGACTTCAGAAAGATAAGACAAAAGGGTCTGGCAGTCATTCAGGCTTGCCATACTGGCCACTCCTTCAGTCCTGATGGGGAAGCCGGGGAAGGACAGGACGCGGAAGCACACATCTAGCACAGATTCAAGAAACGGTCCTTGAAGCATGCCGCTGTTCAGTTGCTCAGTTGTGTCCAACTCTGCGACCCCACAGACTGCAGCACACAAGGCTTCTCGGTCCTTCACTGTCTCCCAGAGCTTGCTCAAACTCACGTCCATTGAGTCAATGATGCCGTCCAACCACCTCGACCTCGGTCATCCCCTTCTCCTCCTGCCTTCAATTTTTCCAGCATCAGGGTCTTAGGAGTTGGCAGGACAAAGCTGAGAGGGCTGGGGCTGGATACCGTCCTGGGGGAGAGCCACATGTGCATAGGCAGGGAGGCTGGACTGAGAACCTGAGCGTTCTAGGAACGAGGAGTCGTTGCCACAGGGGAAAGAAGGAGAGTGGCTGGAAGTGAGATGGAAAGGTAGGCGAGCGTAGTCCACAGGCTGTGCCCTGCATGTGGTGCCATGATGAGGGGTGAACCCCGGCAGAGATGCAGCGTGGGTTCTGCTGGCCCAGACTGGTGCTCTGCAGGGCATTGTATCCTTTCCCCCCTCGTCCTGGTGGAAGACCTTGTGGGCTGGGCAGAGGTGAGGAGGGATGCGGGTGAGAGCCACGGGACGGGGTACCAAGGGAGAACCAAGACCAGGTCTGCATTTTGGAAGGGACTGCCTTCCCCCGCAGAGGAGACAGAAGCCGGAGTCCACGTGGGAGGCTCTTGCCGTTGTTCCAGCCAGAGCTGGTGGGGGTTTGGGCCAGGTGAAGAATAACAAGGAGGTCAGCCAACAGGGCTTGGAGGTCAGTTAGACGCTAGTGCTGGGGCGTGGAGGGGTCAGGGCGGACTGCGGCGCCCAGCCAGGGTCCAGCAGGAAGCCTACGATGTGGAGGAACTGAGTCCTGAGTCAGCTAAGTACACAATCCAAACAGGCCAGGAGCTCCTGCCAGCCCTCTGGGTCAGCCCAGGGCCCGGAGCCGAGAGGGAAGGTCCTGTCCCAGCCTTCCAGACTCTCTTCCTCCTGGAAAGGCACAAGAAGCCGGAACCACAAGCTTGGCATGCCCCCACCCAGACTTTTCCTCTCTCTGCCACATCCCAGTGGCCCCAGGACCCGCTGGGGCCCTCCACTCCATCCTCAGTTCCCTGGCCTTGAGCCCAGTCTGCCTTTAATCTCCAGGATCAGGGGAGAGGCGACGGCCTACTATTGACCACCCACCGCCCTCTAGGCATCAACTGCCTAGGAGATCAAGGGCCGCATGGTGACTGCCACCTTGCCCTCAGACCCTGTCTCCTGGCACTCAGCCTTCCTCCATCTAATCCTGTCTCTCTCCCTGCAAGCCCCCACGGCGTTCCCTCCCCTGCAGCACTCTGCCAACTTCCCGGCCCTCCCAGTCTGTCCCCCTCCTCTGCCTCCCACCCCACCGATCTGTGCCCTTTTCTTCTCCACGGCAGCCACCGGGCAGTGAGCGCGCCTCCAGCCTGGCCACTGGCCTGCGTCCCTGCAGCCCGGCCTGCCCGAGGCTCGGGCCCACCTGGCGCCCCAGCCGCCGGGCTGGCGCCTCCGGGTTGTCTAGACCGGCCCGGGCCGCCCCGCCCCCGCGCTCAGATCTGCGGCCAGAGGCGGAAGTGGCTCCTGCCCGGGGCGGGCGGGGCTCCGCCTGCTCCAGACGGTGCCGCCGGCGGCTGCGCGGAGAGGCGGGGAGCCCCGGGGAAGGGCGCTGGAACCCCGAAAGGCCGGACTCTCCGCCTCGGTCATCCTTCGGATGCATGCAAATAGGCGGGTTGATGCAGCGAAGCTTCGTGCCTTGGTGCCAGGCTTCATTGCAGAAATAAAGGGGATCTCCCTTCCCAAGTCAAAGCTTTTGAACCAAGAGGTGACCTGTGTGCGTCTCCCTTCCCGTCCCGGGGGCTCTGGGCTTTGGGAGGTGTGTCCGGGCTGAGTACCGAGGATGTGCTTAGGGGCCGCTGGCCGCCTCCCCTCCACCTCCCACCCCGCCTGCTCGCTCGGTCCACAGTGTGCCCACCCATCCCCTCCCCTCCCCTCCCCTCCCCCCCGCCCCCAGATCTGCCAGCAGGCCCTGCTTTCCGCAAGAGAGCCCAGATGCTGTTTATGCAACCTCCCCGGAATCTCAGTGTACTGTACTTTTTTAAAGTGATTTGATTCAAAGCACTCATTCTTTAATTAAACTTCATTTAGCTGCCATCTGTCTGGGTTCAAAATTGGCTTCGTGTTTTGCAACTCTAAATGAGAATTGTTATTGAATGTGTAAACACATGCACCAAAAAAAAAAAATCACAAAACACTTTCAAAAGTAATAAATGAGGAATGTGCAGAAGCAACGTTAGGAGCTGCATCTTAAACGTTCTAATTGCTGGGGAATGTATTCTGGTGGGTACATAATCATGTTATATACAAATCTTTGTATAGAAATCTGGTATCAATGAAAAGATCAAGATTATGGAAAATGCCGGAATTATATCAGACTGAAAACAGTAATAAAGCAATCATCGGAGCAGGGACAAAACGAGGGTGAGGCTGGAGGGGGGAAGGGCAGCAATTCTCTTACACCTGCTCCCCTACAGGGAGCCTACCTCACCTGCCGCTGCCCCACTTCTACTGAAAAGAGGAAGGTGAGCCTGAGCTCCGCTGGCGGGGGCTTCAGAACAGCCCTTCCAGATACCTCTTTAAATAAGGAATCAGGGGACCTCGGTCCAGGGGATAAGACTCCAGGTTCCCAATGCAGGGGACCTGGGTTTGATCCCTGGTCAGGGAAGTAAGAGCCTGCCTACTGCAATTACTGAGCAGCCAAAATACATTAAAAAAAAAAAAAAAGAAAAAAAGAGTTCAAGTTTTATTGAGGTTGTCTACTGACCTCCAAGTTAGAGGGTCTCCTCCATCCCACCCGGCCCCAGCAAGGAATAAGAAAGAAAAGATGGAAAAGGACCATGGCACCTCTTTGAAGCCTTGTGTTAGTGGCTCGATAAGAGGTCAGTGTTCTTTGGGGGAAATGGTCTTCAGGATTTTTTTTTAAGGTAATAACTTTATTTCATCCTTATTATATTTATGTCTTCATTACAATTAGTCCTCTATTAATAACAACACAGTTTATTTTAATGCCTGTGGAGTCTTGATTTATTTTTTCCTCTGCTTTTAGGTGTGCTAATCTTTGTGCATGTGCATTTTCTACCACATTGCAACAGGCAAGCTTTGGTTCAATTTTCTTGTCCTACACAAAGGAAGATTTTGAGTGCAGAATCTTAGCCACTAGATCCTGGGTTGCCATTTTATTTTCCTCTCCTTGGGTGGATTTATTGTAAGGAAATGGGTAAAGGACAGGGGGAGAAAGGGAAGGGATGAGAGAGGGACAAAGGGAAGAGTTCTCAGCTATGTTGAATCTTGATTCACAACTTTGCCTCCATTCATGGTCGGTGATCCAGAACTTTTCCTTGAACGCCCTTGTTTTTCTCCAATTTCATGTGGTGATGGCTCTCTGTACATACACACTTCAATAAGTTTTGAAAAATGTGATGAGGGCTTGGTTTTCTTCACTCTGTTCCCCTTCATAATCTGACCTTCCTTATGGAGTCCCAAAAACTAAGCTCGGCCTGATTCTTGCTGATGGTACAGTGTGGAAGAATAGATCACATAGTAGTTTTCAAACACAGATTCCTTAAATTTGCATTCTAGAGTGAAAACATCTGAGCTGTAGAGATAGCCTTCACCATTCATGGCCACATAGAGGCTGGCCTTCACCCCTTGGATGGCCGCCACACGCAGGCCCACAGGGATCAGACTGAAGAGGGTGCAGTCGCTGTTTTCGTCCTTGGTCCCATCGATGGTACCATCGGGGTGCATCTGCAGGAAATATCCCTGAGTAACCTTGTCACAATTCCTTTCAGCTGGGGTTCACTTAGTCTGCTGCTGGAGCTCAGGCTCCTTCCACAGAGACACTGCAGCACATGCACTCCTTTCTTCAAAGAAAGCTCAGGAATCTTCACGGAGAAGCGCGTGTGTGGGGTTGGCCAACTCCCCGCCCACCTCCGCTAATTGTCCAACCAAAAGGCGGACTGCCTGGGGAAGCCGGGTCCCAAATCCCTGGTGCGCGCGTCCCGGGCGCACGGCGGTTTGCTCGGCGGCCCCGGCCGACTCGGGCCGGGGCTGGGACTGGAGCGCGGCCGGTCTTCAGAATTATTCAATGAGGAAACTGAAGCATGAAGACAGGGAAGGAGCAGGGCTAGAGGCTGATGGTCTCAGGAAGGGGCGGGTTCTTGCTGACGTTTCTGGGTGATCCAGGTTGGAGGATGCAGGAGTGGAAAGTTGGGTAGCAGTTGAGGTGTGGTTAAAGCAGACCCCAGCATCCCTAAGACTCTTTGGCTGATTTGTCCCCTGTGCCCTCTTGATCTTGCCTCCCTGGCCGTCTCTCCAGCACTGCCTTTCTGTCACAAAGCAACCTCTCTCTTCCTTCCCAACTCATGTGGCTGTGCCTTCCCGTTTTACCTATCACTGAAATGTCCCCTCCTTGGGGGCCTCTCCAGACCACCTAGTCTAAATCAGATACTCTCTACTTCATAAGTTTTACATTTCATCTCCTTTAAAATTAAAGGAAAAAGAAGGAAAACAAACAAACACATGTATTATGATTCTTCCCTTAACTTTTTTTTGGGCTGCACCTCACTGCTTGCAGGATCTCAGTTCCCCCACCAGGGATCGAACCTGTGCCCTCAGCATGGAGTCCTAACCACTGGACCACAAAGAAATTCCTTTCCTGTAACTCTTAAATCCTCCTTCCTAGTGAATCCAGTAAGCTTGCCCCGGCCACCCTCCCCCAAGCCCATCTCTGGGGAACCATGACAGGTGCCTCTGCCCATTTTTCTACAATAAAAGTCTGCTTTCTTGAATTCTGGTCAAGTGTTTGGACTCCAGAAGCCCAATGTTTCAACATCCGTGTCCCTGAAACACCCACTTAAGATGCAGGAAATGGGAGCCAGGATAAACACTCGGTGCTACAAGAGGTACCAAAAACATTCCACCTGGCTTACACTGTTGCAGATAATAATAAAATAACCACTCTATGCTAACCGTCTACAATGTCAGAGCCATTACATAAGAACTTTTGTGTGCAATGTTAATCCTCACAGCCCTGCAAAGTAAATATTCCTTCTTCCTCTTCCAGATGAAGAATTTGAGGTTCAAAGGACATCAAGGGCTATTATCTGGGGTTACACAACTAGGAAAAATTGAGCACTGAGCCAGGATTCAAAACTAAGCCTGGCTGACTCAGAGAATTCAGGCCACCAAGCACTGCCCCAGGGTGGGTCCTACATGGAGCTGACCCTCCCCAACTCTGGACGGAAAAGCAGTGGGCAACCTCTAACTGGGAGGGGTTCTCTTCTGGTTTCCTCCTTGTTCTGACAAGAACAGAGGTACATTTTAAAAGGGGAGGGGGGACGTGGATACCAACCAGTTCAAGGCTTGCCCAGGAAAGTTGCTAAGACACTCTTCTCAGTCCACAGGAAAAGGACATGAATTGGAGGCCACAGCTGGAAGGACTAGAGAAAACACAACACATACACTCACACGTCTACACATTCACATGCAGGCTCATACACATATTTTTAAAACTGTTAATTAGAGGTGCTGTCACAATCCCCAATTATAGCCGAGTCCTTGGCTCACAGATGTTGGGATTGGCATCTGAGAAAGTGCCGCAGAGAGGAAACCTTCCTCAACCACAGCTCTGAACACGCCCGCCTGCGCTGCCCCCAGAGGAAATCCTCCGGCCTCGCTCTGGCATCTGGGGCCCAGCCCCAGAACAGCTCCTTCTGTATCTCCCAGTGTGCCTTGGGCTCCAGCCAAACTGTGTCCTCGCTGTTCTCAGAACATTCTAGAGGCTCACATACCTCCACGCCTCTGCCCCAGCTTTCAGCCTGGCTGGCCCTCCGCTTTGCTTTACTTGACAAGGGTCTGCCCCGCTCTCTGGTCCAGCAGGAAGGTTCTCTTCTTGTGCCGCCTCCCCTGGCAGTCCCGGCCCAGCAGGTGCTCTCAGAAGACACCACACAAGGTCCTACTGTCCCCTGAGGGGGAAAAAAAAGAGCTTATTGAACACACAGCCTAAAACAGTAGCTCCTAATATCTCCTAAATGCACGTGTGTGCTCAGACCCTTTAGTCATGCCCGACTCTTCGTGTCCAGCAGCAGAGAATGAGATGATTAGATAGCATCACCGACTCAATGGACGTGAATGTGAGAAAACTCCAGGAGACAGTAAAGGACAGAAGAGTCTGGTGTGCTGTAGTCCATAGGGTCGCAAAGAGTCAGACACGACTTGTCGACTGAACAACAACAATACCATCTAACTCCATCCACGTTGTAGAAAATAGCAGGATTTCATTCTTTTTTGTGGCTGATAATCCATTGTGTGTGTGTATATATTTATATATTTTCTCAGATAGGTTATTACAGAATATTCAGTAGAGTTCCCTGTGCTATCCAGTAGGTCCTTGTTAGTTATCTATTTTCTATATAGTACTGTGATCAAGATTGCCGGGAGAAATATCAATAACCTCAGATATGCAGATGACACCACCCTCATGGCAGAAAGTGAAGATGAACTAAAAAGCCTCTTGATGAAAGTGAAAGAGGAGAGTGAAAAAGCTGGCTTAAAGCTCAACATTCAGAAAACTAAGATCATGGCATCTGGTCCCATCACTTCATGGGAAATAGATGGGGAGACAGTGGAAACTGTGTCAGATTTTATTTTTGGGGGCTC